GGGGGGTGAGGTGGATGGCTGAGGTAAGAGGGGTAAAAAGGGCAGCTTGGTGGGTGACAGGCTGTGCAAGGAGACTCTGCTCCTGTCAGGAGGTGGTGTAGCCGCCTCTGCTTCGTTTTAATGGTTTATTAAAAAAACAGTTACATTTTTTGAAAGTTGTAACCTTCTGGTGCCCTGTTCTCTCGTCCTCGTTTGTACCAGGCCGTTATCTAAGGCAGTAGATCATGTATTAAATGGCATCTGGTGTCAACAGGAGATAAGGAGAAGGAAGGTCTGGATGCAAGGCATGGTTTACAGTGGCCTGTCCCTACTACAGATGCCTTTTAAGAAATTGTACTTTTAAAATTTTCATCCCTCTGAAAGGGATCTGCCCTTGCCAGGTTTTGGTTTGCTGGAGAACTAGTGAACTACCCTCATTTCTCCTGCATTCATTTTCAGGGGCCAAGTCAGGAATATGGCAACCCTAAAAGACAGTAAGTACTGGTTTTGTTTGCTTTTGAGAGAGGGAGATTGTTGCAGGAAAACTGTATGTTTAAAATTTTAACAGCTTCTGTTGGATAAACTGATTGTTATGTGCTATAACATTGATGTGTGGGGCTCCAGCACTTCTTGTATTAAGCAAGTGTCCTTCAGAAAAGGCATTACTTAAAATGGTTTCAGCCCTAATTTAATGATAATTTCAGCAAACTATCGTTCTACTCAAACATATTTTTAAAATTACTTTATCATATGTGCTAAAACAGATTTTTGAACTTGTCAGGTTGCACTTGGGAATTGCCCTTGTCTATAGGACACCTGTTTTGCTTTCTTTTTGCACCAGTATTTTCATGAATCTCATTTGCCTACAGTGTAAACAAAGAAGGAAGTTTATTCTGTCTCATTATAATTTTGGGTCTTTTTTTTTTCCCTTTTTGTCAGGAAAAAGATGAAAGTATATACCTCAAGAGATGTATTTGTGAAACAAGTAGAAGCAGAAAGAAAGAGAGTAGCAAATAGAACTTACATGGGGCTAAATATTAAATAAATGTTATGTCTGGGGGAAAAACCATACCTGTTTTAAAGATGCATTTGGGTTAGCCAGATTGCTACTCTCACTGCTCTCTTAGTGTAAATAGTAGGGGCTTGTATTTTATGAAGTTCATTTGTGCATTGTTTATTATTTTTTCTTCTTCTCTGGGGAACTTGGCAAGATATTTTTGGATGGCTGTTGGTAGCACTTCATTCCTTGTGGTTTTGGATGTCCTTATGCCCAGTACAGCCCATGACCTTCAACTCTTAACCTTCTAGTCACCAGACGTTTGAAGTCCATCAAGAACATTCAGAAGATCACCAAGTCCATGAAGATGGTTTCTGCAGCGAAATATGCAAGAGCTGAGAGGGAGCTGAAGCCTGCCAGAGTCTATGGAACAGGAGCACTGGGTGAGGGAAGAGGCTTGGACTGTGTCATGTGGGAAGAGAAGAGGAAGGCTTTAATGGTGGTGATAAAATGCTTAGACTATTTTAGCCTTTTGGTAGATAGTTCTTCAAAATAATTTGTATTTCTAGGCCACTGTCACCTTGAGTATTGCTTGTAAGTAGTTTATGCATAGCTATTCTAAGGAGTTCCAATGTGAAATTAATTTTGATTTCTGACAACTGTTTTAACTTTGGTTGGTTTTTGTTAGTCAGAAAAGCATCACAACTTAGTGTTTCTAGCCTGCTTCTAACTGCTCATGGAATTGTGTCAGATCTCTGTAACATCTGCAGCTACTGCCAGAGCTCCTTGCCAGCTCCTGGATTTCCTGTGCTCCTGAGGTGCTGGACCTGCAGGGAACTTGACTGTGTAGTGATGCTGATTGTGTGGTACCTGATGCAGAGACATGGCTGAGTTTGAACTGATTCCTTGTCACCTCTGGTCTGATAATGTGCAAACTTGAATGATTGTGAGTGAGATAATTTTCATTTGGCTGTGATTTGGAAGTCCTTTAGAAATTGTTTTAGTTAGAATAAGTCAGAGGTATTTTAATATGGCATATTTGCTGCCTGGCACCTTGAATAACTTATCTATCATTTTTTTTAGCTCTCTATGAGAAAGCAGAAATAAAGGCACCAGAGGACAAGAAGAAGCACCTTCTGATTGGTGTGTCCTCTGACCGAGGTCTGTGTGGTGCTATCCATACATCTATTGCTAAAACCTTGAAGAACGAGATCGCCAACCTCACAAATGCAGGGAAAGAAGTTATGGTGGTTGGAGTAGGTGACAAGATCAGAGGCCTGCTTCAGAGGTAAAAAGGAGAAGGGTTTGGTTTGGTGGTTTGGGTTGTTTTCTGTGGTAGAAATGTCAAGACTGTTAGAAAGCTCTCTGGCATTTGCAGGCAATGCATGAATGGAACAAGTGCCTTTTAAAAAAATCTGCAGATATGATGACATTTGATCATCTGGATGTTTGTGAAACTGCTGCACAGCATTATATTTTTGGAATAATAGTCTGAAAAGCTACTAGCACTGCTACATATGTGTATTTATCATGACACTTTCATAATAATTGAACTGAAAATGAAAGCAAGATTTATCTTGGACTCTTAATTCAATTAAATGCTTAGTTTTGAACGCTAGAAAGTTACTGGGACTTGTTGCCTCTTGGTGGCATATATTTGTATTTTAGAGCACCCACTGGTTCTTACACAGATTTGATATCACTGCAGGACACATGGCAATTACTTTCTGCTGACATTCAAAGAGGTGGGACGGAGACCTCCAAGCTTTGGAGATGCTTCAATCATTGCCTTGGAGTTGTTAAACTCTGGGTATGAATTTGATGAAGGCTCTGTCATCTACAATCGGTTCAGGTGAGGTTAAACTGAAACTGCTGTGGAAAAAAATACTTGGTAGAAGGTTTTCAACAGCACATTGGCCTGTTGAAGTAATATGAAAACTGTGGCTTGTCATGTTTATTTTTTGAGGAAGGGAGTGCATTTTTTGGTGTGTGTGAAGAGCTGTTTCGCTTGGTTTGTGTTTAATAGCTGTGGTTGGAATTCTCTTTTACTTCTATAATGGTTGGTGTTATATATAGAGTCAGTATGTGATTATATCCACATTGTACCTGAGATCTCTCCATCAGGATTATTGCAGAACTTTGGAATTAGAAGGCTAGAACTTGTCTGTTTTAGTTTGATTTCAAACACTCAGTTTAGGGTGAGTTGAACTGAGGATCCTGTTACGCTGTGTTTGTACAGGTCTGTCATCTCCTACAAGACTGATGAAAAACCCATCTACTCCTTTGAAACAGTTGCTGGTTCTGGTAAGTAGTGAACTAGAAACCACCAGAGATGTGAAGTTGAAGTGATAAATCATTTTTAAAGTACTCTGAACTAGATGTTAAAAAGAATTTCTTTACTGAAGGAGTACTTGGACACTGGAACAGGCTGCCCAGGGAGGTGGTCACCACTCCGGAATTGTTTAAAAGAAATACAGATGTGGTGTTTAGGGATGTGATTTAGGCACTGAACAGGGAGATAAGGTTGTGGTTGGTGGATTTAGCTTATGGTTGGACTTGATGATCTTCAAGGTCATTTCCAATCAGGACGATTCAGTGATCAAATATGGTGCATGTATGGGAAGTTTAATGGATTATTTTTATCTTGGCAGCCCAAGGCTGACCTATCAAGGTGCTGTGGGACAAGGACATTAATAAGAATGGTTGTACTAATTCTGTTTTGAGATCTCTCTTAAGCAAGAACCAAGCTGTCAGTTCCAGTGTTTTCATCACTGAACACTCTGGGCATTGAGTGACTTTGCACTACTCAGTAAAATCACCCCAGAATATTTCTGCAACATTGTATGGGAAGATTAAGCGTAGTCTACCAGTAAAGTATTTGGCCCTGGTCAGAATCTCTCTTTGCCAGTATAAAATTGAATTAAAATACTTCAAAGTACTTAATCTCTGCTACTTAAAATATGGAAGTAGCTGTAGTATGTAGAGAGAATTCCTCTGCAGCTGAGAAGCAGGCTGGCCTAGTAATCTTCTGCAGGGCATTGTATTGACTAGAATTCATATACCTTGGGTTTCTCTTAAGTCCACTCTTTCATATTTTACAGAAAGCCTAAGCATCTATGATGATATTGATGCTGATGTGCTGAGAAACTACCAGGAATTTACACTAGCAAATATTCTGTACTACTCCCTGAAAGAATCCACCACCAGTGAGCAGAGTGCTAGGATGACTGCTATGGACAACGCTAGCAAGAATGCTTGTAAGTCTGCTCTGGGGCCTTCCCAGGACTTGAGTACTTCAGTATGAAAGTACTGCCCTCCCTTTTTGTAATTCTTTGCCTCCTAAATGGTAAGAAAGGAGCTGTTTTCTCTGTTCATTCCGATTTGAGGTTGTTGTTTTCAGCAAGTTCAATCAACATTCTTTTCTCAGCATGTGAACTATATTTAGTCCCTGAAGAAAAGCTGGGAAGGGACTTTTTACAAGGGCTTGTAGCAAGAGAACACGGAGTAATGGATTAAAACTGGAGGAGGGGAGATTTATGTTAGACATCAGGAGGAAATTCTTTAGTGTTAGGGTGGTGAGACACTGACACAGGTTGCCTGGGGAAGCTGTGGCTTCCACATCCTTGGAAGTGTTCAAGGCCAGGCTGGATGGGGCTTGGAGCAGCCTGGTCTGGTGGGAGGTGTCCCTGCCTATGCAGGGGAGTTGGAACTAGATGATCTTTAAGTTCCCTTCCAGCCCAAACCATTCTATGATTCTATGGAAGAGAGATTTCTGTCAGGTATGTGGGAAACAACAGTAGGTAACTGGAAGTTAAATGACAGTTTCTTTATTAAGAATATGAAATACTAAACTAATTTTGTAATGGCCAAAATACACTCTTCTGGCCAGCCTGAAGATTTCCAAAATTTTTATAAACCTGCACCTACTTCAAAGCCCAACGTAATTAGTACTGCAACAGTTTAAAGATGGGGAAACTGAAACAATGATTAATTACTTTACCACCTGTCATGAAGCAAGTTGGGAATGTGAAAATATTCTTGGAAGGTGTCCAGACCCAGTGCAGTGCAGAGAGTATGCAGTTGGTGTTAGTGGGAGACAGCTAATAGCATCTAATGTGGAATGGTGATCGTAGGAAGTATTACACTAAGGGTACTGGTGACTGAAGCTGATGTGATGTGCAGTTCTGCTATCTAGAACTGTAGGTGTGGCTCTCTGCTGACTGTCCTAACTTGAAAGAAAGAGGTGATGTCTTCTCCATTTAAAAAAAATTGAAGAAATAAAAATTGTAACAAATTTACCTTACAAGGAAAGGCTAAGAGACCTGGGGCTGTTTAGGCTAGAGAGGAGAAGACTTGGGGGAGGATTTAACTGATGTCTATAAATACATGAGGGCATCACGAAAGCAGGGACAATCTCTTTTCACTTGTACCCTGTGATAGGACAAGGAGCAATAGATTCAAACTTGGGCACAGGAAGTTCCAACCTCAACATGAGGAAGAACTTCTTCACTGTGAGGGTTACAGAGCACTGGAACAGGCTCCTTAGAGAGGTTATGGAGTCTCCTTCTCTGGAGACCTGTCTGGATGCCTTTCTGAGTGGTCTGCCATAGTTGTGTGGGTTTTTGTTTGATTTGTTTGTTTGTTTGGTCCTGCTCTGGCAGGGGGGTTGGACTCAATGATCTTTGGAGGTCCCTTCCAACCCCTGCCATTCTGTGATTCTGTGATTTACCTGAATAACAGTAATGTGAAGAAAACAATGATGTACTGAGAATGAAATCTAATTTTAAAGCAGATAGTGCATGCTTGCATTGTGTCACAATAAGTGATCTTTTACATGATCTTTTATTTAGTGCTCTGCCAGCTGTTCTTCAGATATTTAACTCTGATGCCTCAAGCCAAATTATGAAGTTTTTAGATTGTCTACTAGTAGTGTTATCTGTAGTGGGAAAAATAGAGAAGTGCAATGATCCTGTTGATTGTTTACCAGACTATTTGGTATTCTGTTCATACATCTTCTCCTTTTCTGTATTGGAATAGTTATTGTCTCCTTAAATTCCAACCTAATTTTTTTCTAGCTGAGATGATTGACAAATTGACCTTGACATTCAACCGTACCCGTCAAGCCGTCATCACCAAGGAGCTCATTGAGATCATCTCTGGTGCTGCTGCTCTGTGAGTACCTCCAGAAACAGGAAATGGGACTTGTTCCAAAGTCGGGGCATGTTGTACATCCTGCATCAGTCAGGTTAGGGCACCTAGGTCCTGAAACCAAAGGAAAGACAATCCCTTGCATGACTCCCAAGTTTTTCAGCTTGTGCAGTTTTACTAACAAGTACGAAGTTTGCAGCCTTTTGGCCAGATAAAAGCTGGTAAAACAGATCTTTAGCCTCAACACACATCCTTGCCTGAACAGATGGTGTTTTCCCTCCTTTTTGGCATTCAGTGGGCTTTTTCCCTCCTCCGTTTTACCTGGGCTTCTCATCTTCTGTTCAAACAGCCCAGTGGTATTGGGTGGTGGGGAGTAACTCAGGTGACCAAAACTCTTTTGGATAAATCAGCCTGTGGTGCAGTTCAGAAGCCGAGAGTTTGGGGTGTGGTTGGAAGCAGGAGGGAATTTCCTGAGTCTGTTGGTACTGAATGTGTATTTTACTTTTAAGTTCAGTATTTTGCTTATTTCCCTGAGAAAGAAGTTTTGGGAAGGTGTGTACTGCAGGTTACAAACATGTGGGCTTAGACCACAATTTGTAACTGCTTGTAGCTCTTGTATGACATTTAACAGCTACAAATTTGTGCTGTGCTCAGATGCAAATATCCTGTGTTAATATCCTGTGTGTTTACAAAATGCCTGGAATACATCGTGTGTTGCATTATGTGCTGTATTGTGCTCCTCACAATACATTTGTGGTCATAAATATATGCATAGTTTTGCCTGAATTTGCATGAGTTGCTTCCTAACCTGCTTGTTCTGTTTTTTCTCATAATACCATAACCAGGAATTAATCGGGGGAAAAAGCGGTTCAGCCAAATCCAAGAGGTAAAGTTGTGAAATAGAAACTGGATTATGTTTGAAAATGAATTAACACAGAAAATCATGAAGTCAAATGAAGAAGTCAGAATTCAGTGGTGTTGGTCTGATAAGCTTCTCTTGCCAAAGAGCTGCCCGTTGCTACTGTGAATGTGCTAAAGTGTCAATAATTATAGGCAAAAATAGGCCATGAGAGCATATGTCCACATTTGACATAATTCTCTGGGTGTGGTTTATTTTCTGGGTTATTAGATTAATTTGCAATTTTAAGTTTTTCGTAGTGCTCTGGCCTTATGCAAGGGTTTAAAATTATCTGTGTGTGAGGTGTTGTACCTGAAGAGGTTTCTGTAGCAAAGCCAGCATATTCAGAACTTAAAACTTGAAGGAAAAGTAGACTTAATAGAGTTATGTAGGGAAGGGTAATGAAGATTAGTGAGTTGAAGTGTTCAAACTGGAGGAGAGAAAAGTTTTAAATTAAAAAAATAATAATTAAACGGGTTTTAATTTGCTTCAATTTTCTTTACAGGTGAAGAAGAGCTCTTCTGAGTACATTGTTTAACCTGCCAGTGTCTGTGTTAAAAAGGCTGCCCTGCTATTTTGTGAAGAAGTGGCAAAGCCCCAGAAATCTGTAAATTCTTAAAATAAACCACCTATGTGAAACAAATGCTCTTGATTGTCCATGGACCAAAATCTTGGTGTCTAAGTGTCTGGATAAGTGTCTGGGTTTGACTTGGTTACTCTTTGAAACAATTTTTAAACACTGTGCTGTACATTTGGTTTGTATCATGTCAGCTTCTTTGAAGAGTGGAAGAGTTTGCCTGTCTTGCCCTGGGCTTTGTTACATATGTTGCACTGTGTGCTGAAGAAGGAGACTGGAATAACCTCTGCACTGTGCAGAGGAGCACTGATCTCTAGCTCATTTGAATGCCATATTACTACTGTTTCTAGATGTTTGTATTCTAACTGATCTGATTCCAGGAGTGGTTTCAGAGAAGGGCCTCGAAGATGGTGAAAGGGCTGGAGCACCTCTGCTGTGAGACAGGCTGACAGAGTTGGGGCTGTTCAGCTTGAAGGAGAAAATGCTCCAGGGAGGCCTTAGAGCCCCTTCCAATGAAGGGCCTACAAGAAAGCTGGAGAGGGTCTTCTTAAAAGGGCATGGAGTGATGGGACAAGGTAATGGTTTTAAACTGGAAATGTGAAAAAGTACATCCCTCTTAAGGAATAATTTAAAGCTACTGCTGCCTTTCTAATGCAGTTTCTACCATGCTCCTGACCTGGTGGCCTGTGTACCAAGGTCCCTAGGGCCAAAGCTTTCCCACAGAGTCCAAGTTTTTGTGGCTGCCTGGCCTGCTGTCACCACCTTGCAATGCAATGTGTGCACCTGACACGCTGGGTGGGACAGGTAGTCATCCACTGCTGTCATCCCAGGTGAGAGGGATGGTGTGTAATAATAGTGAGCATGGAAACACTGGTCTGAAATGGTTGTAAAAGTGGGAACGGCCACAAGGACCCCAGGCAGGAGCTGCCTGGATGGGTGGCAGCATGCCAAGCCAGCTGAGTCCATCAGGGACCCTCCTCTTGTCTCCATCCTGTCTGTTCCCTTCCTCACTCCCTACACATGCTCTTTAATTTCTCTCAGGCAAGGAAATGCTTTCTGTGACCTCCACTCTTCCCTTACTCCCCTTTTCAAGACACAAAGGGAACTCACAGCCCAGGTCATTTGTGTCCAAAGAGGAAAGTTCTTTCCAGGACCATGAATCCCAAGTTCATAGAATCATAGGATGGTTTGAGTTGCAAGGGATTGTTAAAGGTCATGTAGTCCAACCCCTCTGCAGTGAGCAGGGACATCTTCAACTGGATTAGGTTGCTCAGAGCCCTGACTAACCTGACCTTGAATGTTTCCAGGGATGGGGCATTTATCACCTTTTCAGGCAACTTGTGCCAGTGTCTCACCAACCTTACTGTATTTTTTTTTTCTTTGTATCTAGTCTAAATCTCCCCTCTTAGTTTAAAACCATCACCCCTTGTCCTATTACTACAGGCCCTGCAAAAATTTCTGTCTTCATCTTTCTTATAAGCTCCTATTAAGTACTGAAAGCTGCAATAAGGTTTACCTGGAGCCCTCTCTTCTCCAAGATGAACAACCCCAACTCTCAGCCTTTCTTCACAGAGGAGCATCCCATCCCTCTGATCATTTCTGTGGCCTCCCCCGGACCTGCTCCAACAGCTCCATGTCTTTCCTGTGCTGAGGACCCCAGAGCTGTATATTGTGCTCAAGGTGGTGTCTTATGAGAGCAGATTAGAGAAGAATCACTTTCCGGGCCCTGTTGTTCATGCTCTTGTGATGCAGCCTAGGACACGGTTGGCTTCCTGGGCTGCAGGAGCACATTCCTGTCTCATGTCCAGCTTTTCATCCACCAGCACCCCGAGGTCCTTCTCAGGGCTGCTCTGAATCCTGTCATACCCCAGCCTGTATTTATACTGGGATTGCCCTGATCCAGGTGCAGAACCTTGCACTTGGCCTCGTTGATCTTCATGAGGTTGATATGGTCCCATTTCTCAAGCTTGCCCAGGTCTCTCTGGAGGGCATCCTGTGCCTCAGGCATGTCAACTGCACCACTGAGCTTGGTGTCATCTGCAGACTTGCTCAGGGGATGTTTGATCCTCACTATCTATGTCATTGATGAAGATACTGAACAGCACTGGTCCCAGTATGGACCCCTGAGGGACACCACTTGTCACTGATCCCTATCTGGGCATCCAGTCATTGACCACTACCCTCTGGATAAGACCATGCAGCCTATTCCTCATCCACCCAACAGTCCACGCATCAAATCCCTATCTCTCCAATGTAGAGAGAAGGATGATGTGGGCCAGAGTATCAAAACTGCCTGTTAATTCCCTTAAGGAATACTGAAGAAGTTTCCAAAATGGGGGCTGTGCATTTGCAGCTTTCTAGAGCACTGGAAAAAAACATGTTTCTAAGACAGGAAATGTGGCACCAGTTCTAAATTGCCCAAAGTATCTCAACAGACTGAAGGGAATGAACAAAGAACATCCACCTGCCCTGACAAATGATGCCTGGATCTTGTCAGGGGTCCAACTCCCCCCTCCTCAGGCCACAGACCTGAGATGTTACCAATGCAAGAGACCAGGCTGTTTATTGACTAATCAACACACTACTAATGGTCTAATAAATCAAAGAGCAAATTTGTGAACTAATTAACTTCTAATAATAGACCACTATTATTTACAATTCTGTTCTTCATGCTCTGATTAGTCACACACAATTACTGAGTTGCAGTTTAGCACTTCAGTTATTAGTGTGGACACAGCCACCATTGACTACAGCTCTGTCACTTCTCATTCTGCCTCCCACACCACTCAGTAACCATTAGTTCTGCTTCTGGATCCTCCTTTTTGCCACCTTAGTTTCATCCTTGCCCAAATAAACAAATCTCCCATAAACACTTTTTCCTCATTGTTCCCAGTTTCGCCCCATCTGTTCCCAAAACTGGTGTTTCTGCATAGACAATCTTGGCCTTGTAGATATTTATATACCTGCCTACAGACAGGTGACCTTGCAAGGTTCTGCTTCCCCAAATCACCCCCCAAACTTCAATTTGGTGCATACTAGCTCTTGAAAATGATATTTTTTTGTGGTTCCACCATGTGCAAAAAACTGCAGTTGCAGAAGTGATGCACAAAACTTGGTTTGTTTTTTTTTTGTTTGTTCTTTTGTTGTTGTTGTTGTGTGTTTTTTTTCCCTCTGGAGGAATCAGTGAAATTAGAAAGAACAGAAATGTTAATAAATCAGCCTTTGTTTTTGCTGCAAGTCTTCTGGTATTGAAGTCAATTTTGATTTAAAGTGTCTCAAGTCAGGCTCCTTCCTGTGTCCTCAAGTCTCTTCACTGTCAAAGGATTTTCTCTGTAAAATGTCCTCTCCTGTTTCTTAGATTCCCATTCCTCACAGCAGAGGCCTGATCCTGCACCTTCCACCCGAGTATAGCCTGATCCACAACAAACCTGATGCAGTGTTGGCCATGCATGTGACATACAGCAACATGTGTGGTGAGGCTGTACTGCTGCAGAGTGATGTGGTGGGACCTGACAGCCCAAAACTGCAATCTCCAAACCAAAGAGTAACCAACTGGCAGGATTATCATGAAGAGTAATTAAAAGGCTTCACCCACAAGATCTGGTGGCAAGGTCTTGACAGCAAACGTGTGAGCTGCCTGAGGCTGCACGAGGTCCCACTGTGGAAGGGAAACCCAACAGTGACAAGGGCTGACATCTGCCTCCTGCACACAACTGAAAATCAAAAAGAGAAAATAAACAGGACCTCGGATAAACTGTTTTGACCAAGAATTTTTAGTTTCCTGGTAGCACATAGCATTGCTGCAGCAGCTCATGGGTACAGCACTTGCTTGGCTGCTTTGGGCATGGGGAGGAGTCAGAGGTGGTCCCTTGCCCCTGGGGAAGCCCAGGCCAGGTCCCACCAGGTTCCAGCACTCCTAAAGGCCTCCTGACACCAACTTCTAGAATCACAGAACTGTAGGGGTTGGAAGGGACCTCTGGAGCTCACCCAGTCCAACCCTCTGCCAAAGCGGGAACACCCAGGGCAGGTCACACAGAAACACGTCCAGATGGGTCTTGAATGTCTCCAGAGAAGGAGACTCCACAACCTCTCTGGGCAGCCTGTTCCAGTGCTCTGTCATCCTTTAGAGTAAAGAGGTTGTTCCTCACGTTGAGGTGGAACTTCCCAGTTTGTGCCCGTCACCCCTTGGCCTGTCACTGGGCACCACTGAGAAGAGACTGGCTCCTTCTTCTGGACACTCACCCTTCAGATATTTGTAAACATCAGTAAGATCTCCTCTCAGGCTTCTCTTCTCCAGGCTAAACAGCCCCAGGTCTCTCAGCCTTTCCTCATAAGACCCTTCCAGGCCCTTCATCACCCTCGCAGCCCCCGTTGGACTCTCAAGCAAATCCCTGGAACTGAGGAGCCCAGAACTGGACACAACACCCCAGG